TTGGGAGGTGGTGGCAGGAGGGTCAAGAATTCAAAGTCATCCTTGGATACGTGATGAGCTTCAGGTTCAGCAGGGTTTCATGAGACCCTGTTTTTAATTTACTCATGGATGAACACACACACAACACACAATATGAATTCCTTACATAGGAATGGAGCAACTCCTCTTCAGTCCAAGTTCGATGCCTATAGAATCTGGGTTCTGAAGTCTGCAAAAGAATGCAGCAGCTACAATAGCATCGGTACAGGCAGTTACCACTGTGGAAGCGGGTCAGGCAGCTACAGGGTGAATGAACTTACAGGTGAGGTGCAGAGGCAGAGAGAGGCAAATAAGCCTTCTCCCCATGCTCCTCTCACTGCTGACAGTCTGATCAGGAAACCCCTTACAGCTGCGACTAGTGGCTTACCTCTTAGTTGATTCCAATTTAGTCAGTTGGCAACCATGATTTACCCTCAGGGAGGGGAAATACCCCCAGCCCTCCTACCACCTATGTTAATGCACTCCACTGTACAGGGTTGATGCAAATTAGTACGTGCAGATTACACTAACTGCCCTTTCTTCAAACGTGTTTTTGAAATGCTGGGACTGGATCCTCATCCTTGGTGGGGGTTGTTTGGTCAGTATCGTTTTCTTTAAATTGCAGTGAGGTAATGAGTATGTCCTCCTTTTTTAGGTACGCTTTGTAAAGAATATAACCACTTGGAACGAGATGAAACCAGGGTTTTATCATGGACACATTTCTTATCTGGATTTTGCAAAGTAAGTAGCATCCAAAATGGTGTACTAAGGAATATTTTGTATGTCATCAGCATAAAACAAAATCACTTCATTAAAGTGTTAGGATTTTGGATATATATATATTAGACCTGTAATTTAAATATTCCTTCCAGTGCTTTACTGCCCTCTAGTGTTCATAAATTGACACTTCTCAAGCTAATTACAGGAATTCATGTTCTGTTAAGTCAGGGACTATGGAACAGGTTTTCATACACAACTGGAAGCCCACTAACTACTCTTGGAGCATCCAGGTTTTAACCCAGTCAGTCACTGTGACTCACCAAATCACTGACTTAGAAAACAAAGAAACACTCAGTTTTTGGTACTACAATGTGCTTTTCCTTGAATTGCTGTGTTTCTGCTTTGAAATTATGAGTTATTAGGTGGAGACTTTTTAAAAACTAAAAATTTCCTTTTATGTTTGAACGCAGTTGTGTAAGTCAGGGTAATTTTGTCGTAGTTCTCCTAAAGAAAATTTCAAAAGACTGTGGACTACGAACAGTGTTGAAGCATTCTGTGATCCTCAATGGCCCTTACATCATGAAGGGCTAATCAGAAAATTGGCTAAAAGAAATAGTCCAAGTATAGCATCTGTTTGAATGTTCTCAATGGGACCCCTGGCGCCATTACTGTAGAAGCTCACATCCAAACGCTCGGCTGATACTTAACTGTATTAACGTCAGAAACAGCAGAGAATGTACCACTGACTCCAGGCATCTTCAAATCAGTTTTTAAATTAGCAGTGTGTCTTACAAGAACATGTATATCAACTGTCAAACTAAAATGCATCCTGTGTGAATTTTGAAATGAAAGGGTGTCTCACTTCCATTTAACTTTTTAGGTTTGAAAAGGAAAAAGCAGAAAGGTGTGTCACTGGGTTAGACAGTGGCAACTCTTCACCTCTCTGGGAATCATAATGAATATGCATATTTTCCCTGAGGGCTGCATTATCCTTCAATGAATGTTTGTTACCCTTTCACCTAAATTATTTGATTTTTTTTCCTCTACATGGCCTGGTTTCTAATACTGTAAGTTTTCATTATTAAAATTATATATTGAGTCTTTTTGCTTTGGGCACAGTCTTGTCCGTAGAACAAAGCTGTGGTGTTTGCTGAGGTACTTGGACTTGAAATGTATACGGCTTTTTTTAAAGAGTAGTCTTATTAAATATTGACAACAAAACTGGGTTTGAATATTTCCATATTGGCTCATGTTGTTGGAAATAAGTAATATATTGTGAAAATTTTAATCAACTAACAAAAATTTAAACAAATAGCTAAACAGAATCAATTAGAGGAAACTGATGTATTTTAATGTATATAGTCAAGAAATACTATAGCTTGATAGTCATAGACTCTGTGACTAAAAAGGAGGGGAGAAAGAAACATCATTTACCTATTTTAAAGTTCTTTATTCTTCAAAACACTGAGCTGAGAATGGTGGCTTACACCTGTAGTTTTAGTTGCCTAGGAGGCTGATACAGGAGGATTACATATTTGAAGACAACCCAGACAATTTCTCGAGATCCCATCTCACATTTTAAAATGAGGGTCTAGGAAGATGGCCCTGTAGGTAAAGTAACTGCATTACAATGGTGAGGACCCAAGTTTGAATCCCTAGAACTAAGAAACCAGGCTTGAAGCCCGAGTGTCTGTAACCCCCGTGCTCATACAGTTCCTGGGAGCTCGACAGCCACCTAGCCTGCTGGCAGCAGCAGGGAAGCCCTGGTGCACCAGAAATGGAAAGGGAGGATTGACACCCAAGGTTGTCCTCTGACTTCACCATACATTGTGACACAAGCACCCTGTGCTCACACACCACACATTTTACAGAACAAACAAACAATAATTTTTAATGTTAAAAAGGATATTTCTTGACATGTGGTTCTGTAGTAGAATGGCATCTAGTTATGGTGGAAGCCCTGGGTTTATTCAGTCCCTATTAACTAAGCAGCAGGGAAGCCCTGGTGCACCAGAAATGGAAAGGGAGGATTGACACCCAAGGTTGCTTCACCATACATTGTGACACAAGCACCCTGTGCTCACACACCACACATTTTACAGAACAAACAAACAATAATTTTTAATGTTAAAAAGGATATTTCTTGACATGTGGTTCTGTAGTAGAATGGCATCTAGTTATGGTGGAAGCCCTGGGTTTATTCAGTCCCTATTAACTAACACACGCACACACGCACACACGCACGCACGCACGCACGCACGCACG